TACCTGAAGCAACAGAGATAGAAGGAGAGTCAGGAATATGAGGATGGTATGGAATGTGTGGCCAATTCCCTCCATGAACAACTGCCTCCTCTGACAAGAGACCATCAGAACTGGATGGTGCCTGGCTACCATTACTGAATGTTTTGATCGAAGATTCCATAGAAGAATTCTGATCGAAAGGGAGAAAATGTAGAACAGAATTTCCAATTCTCATAGACTCTAGACTTTCTGGAGCCATGGAGGATGGATGAACCCCTGAGACTACTGCCCTGAGATAATCTTTGAACCTTAAACCAAAAATATCCCCTGAAGTCATCTTAAAACCAAGCAACAGTTTACCTTAACTAGTAAAAAAAGGTCTGCCTTAAGCATTACGCTCTTTTAAGAACTATCTATGTGGGATCAAATCGACAACAGCAACTCAAAAGATTAGATAGGAACCTTAGGGGGGCAGTGAGTTTATGTTAATGAGGGAAGAATAACTCAAAAGCAGGGTGAAAATGTTGCACAACTCGAAGAAGGTAATCAATGTCACTAAATGGTACATGTAGAAACTGCTGAATTGGTGTATGTTTTGCTATGTATATCCTCAACAACAACAACAAAATAAAATTTACAGGGGGGGGAAAAAAAAGATTTACAGCCTTTGAAACCCTATGGAGCAGTTCTGCTCTGTCCCATAGGCTCTTTATGAATTGGAATCGACTCAACAGCAGTGGGTTTGGAGTGGCAGACACCCGAAGCAGAGAAACATGCATACAGGCCCTAATACTGGGCAACCAGTTAAATAATCTGAAGAAAAACCAGGAACACATTTTGAATTTCAGCCCCAGTAAGAAATGAAATGTATATAATTAGCTTCAATCATTTGAAATTTTACTGAAACACAGAGATGTAGTAGTATCTATTTGTATTTTAGTTTACCACCCAGTACAATACAGTGTAGTGTTTGAATTAGAAGTTTATGTTTTTTTTCCCCCAACCATTCAGCTGGATAGCATTTTTTTCCTTCTGTTTTATTAAACTTTGAAGATTAACAGCAAAACGGTATTAAATCATCAACACATTTAAGAATGAGAGTAAATTCTGAGGTAGCTGGGGAGCATCTTTATAAGGTAGCATTAGAAAAACGCTGTAGTCACTATTTTTAACACGAGACAAGAGGAAAAGCAGGCTCAATCATGGAGAGTAAATTAGAATTGTGGTTTGTAGTTATTCTTGTGATGCTGTTTTTCTCCTTGGAAGTAGGATTCCAAAATTAAGAAAGAAGAGAGGAGGGAGAGGCAGAATGAAACATTTTGTTGGCAACTATGTTCTTACTGATATTTAATTTTCCTGACTCCAGTATAATCTCCCTTGTTACTTGAATCTTTTCTAAAACTAGAACACTCTAAATGGTCCATCATTACATATATGTTATAAGGAAGCCAGACTAATGCAAAGAATGAAATTATTCTGGTCAATATGCATATACTGAGAGCTAAATTTCTACATGACAATCAAACTGGTAGGTGTTTAACAGCTGAAACAAAATGGGGTAAAACAAACACATGTATATATGTATACATATTGCAACATCTCCAAAGGAAACTACTTGTAATTGGATAGTTCCACAATATACTGGAAGTGCACAAATATTTAGACCCCACTCCTGGTACCAAACGTTTTAAGCTGGGTTCTCTACAGAAGCAAAACCAGTGAAGCGCATGCACGAGTGTGTGTGTGTGTGTGTGTGTGTGTGTATCAATCAAGGAAACAGCTCACACAGTTGTAGAGGCTGGCAAGTCCCAAGTCCATGGCTAAGGTGTCAGGTTGGAGGCTTCTCTTGACTCACATAGCTTCGAACCCAAGATTGGCAGTTCAGACAGCAGGCTGCTTGCTCAAGTCCCAAGCACTAGAGTCAGATGATGATGAGACGGATGTGGGATCCAGAGCAAGTAAGCAAGCTTGGCCAGAACATACACATATATATTGGACGCAGGCCACACCCTCGCAGAAATGCCCCTTACAACTGGTTAGCTGATTACATCATGAAGGACGACTACATCATTACATAACTGCCAAACCATTGAGAATCATGGCTCAGCCAAGCTGACACACAACCTCAACCATCACAGTTCAAGCCTGGGAATCATTTCTTTGCTGGTATTTTTTTTTTGTTAAGTAAACATTTCTATTTTTAAGTTAGAAATGCAGACTATTAAAGCTAGAAGCTGAAGATCAATCTTTCAAAAATATGTCATTCTACTCTAAAACTCCATGGGAAACATGAAGAGTGAATGCATAAAATAATAAAATATATTTGATCTAATATTAGAAGGCTTGACTTAAAAAAAAAAAGGTTCTACAAGACTTCACAATGACATAAGTGAGGAGCACAAGCTGAGGGCTTATCTGGGTGGAGTAGGGTCTTCCTTAAGGGCTACAGAGGAAGTAGCCCTGATTTAAGTCAAGTCATCACTAGGGTGAGTTTGAGGATAGGCTAATATTTGCAAGGTCTATGATTATTAGCATTAGGGTGGAAAAATAGCAACTGTTTTCTCTGTGATTCTATGTACTATTCAGTACACAGAAATCTCTGGATTTCTGGAACTTCTATTATTGATTACAAAAAACAAAAAGAAATTGCAAATACCACAATTTTCCTATTATTATTTGCTGACATTGAACCAAGATAATTAAAAAATTTTCATTAGCATTTGCATACTGCTATATATTTTTATTATTGTCTATATTCAATATCCATTTATAACAAGATATATAATCATATTCTTAACTTTCATAATGCTAACTCTTACTATTTGAAGAATATGCTTTTGTAGTTCAATTGATTCAACTGCATAGCCAGAAAATGTAGTATGCTTGTAAGCCTTCTGGAAGAACACTTTTTGGATATGCCTCAGACATGCAGACTGTAAAATGTGAGAGAGAGATGCACTAGTGTCATAAACAGTGGTATCCTCTGGGGACCAACAGAGTCTGATTTCTAACTTGTTGATAGCATGCTACTGTAAGTGAAGGTGAACGTTAAAAAAAGCCATTTTAATTACATCTCCCTTCCTCTTTCAACCAATACAGATGGGAATTCCAAGAAAAGTAAAGTCACTGAGTCATTCTTCCTTTTATGACTAGTCTGGTCAACAGATGTGATTTTATCTTTTAAGCCATTAAATACTCCCCAAATTATTTTACAACCTACCTCTGATATAGTAGATTTACAAACTTCTCTGGCCACAGATTCAAATTTGGGATCTGTAGTTAGGTTCAGTTTATAATTCCATAACAACTAAGTACAAAAGAAAGAAAGAAAAAAAATCTCCAGTTAGAATTGTACAAAATTTATCAATGGTTACTATAAATGACTCATTGTACAGAGTCTGACACAGCTAAACAGAAACTAAGATAATATGTCATCACATTTATAGATAAAAGGAAAAAATATGTGGACAAAACAAAAGCAGTTGAGAATGAGTATAGAAGAAGCTTCGTTCTGACTGAAGGAATCTTGGTCCTCCTTGCTCCTCAGAAGTAGAGATAAATCCAATGACTCAAAAGACAAGGTCAGAATTTAGACAAATACATTTTACCTATGAAATAAGTGTTACCTATGAATTAAGTCAGTACTACATGGCCACTAAATATTATATTTTAAAATTAAAGCATTATTATTTATTTTTTTAAATTCAGAACATTCTAATTTTGTATGTAAATCAAAGCTAAAGTTAGATTAAAATATTTCCTCTTTATTGCATGACTTGTATTTGACCTACTGCCGTTTCTTTCGAGAAGGAGAAAGAAGAAAAAGAAAAGCTATCTGGTGGCTCAAAAGTTTAAACAGCAACAAATGTCAGAAAATTTATAAATACAGACCTAAGAATACTACCTTACCTTTATCTAACGCAAAAAAAGACATCTTGTGATTAGGCTAGAGATAGATTTTTTGCCAACAGCCATTTAGATTACCATTTCAGATCTTTTGAATGTCTTTAACTTTTAATTTGGAAACTTACTCGTTATGATGAAAGGCATAAATTTCTTTACGAACAAGATTTCTCTCAAATAACTATGACAGAACTGTCAAATGTTAAACATTCTACCTCTTATCTTTTATTTTTATATTTTTATTGAGATCTAATTCCCCTACCATAACAGTCACTGTTTAAAAATGTACAATTAAGTGGTTTTCGGTATATTCACAAGGCTGTGCAACCATCACCACTTTCTAATTTCAAAACATTTTCATCACTCCAAAAAGAAACATCCCTACTCACAGTCACTTGCACTACTCCCTTCTCCAACTCAGCCCCTGGTAACCACTAATCTACTTTCTATCTTTATGGATTTGCCTACTCTGGGCTTTTCATATAAATGGAATCATACAATACGTGGCCTTTTGTGTCTGGTTTTCAAGGCTCAACCATATTATAACATGTATCAGTACTTCATTCCTTTTTATTGCCAAATAATTGCATGGCTATGTCACATTTTATTTATCCATTCATCAGTTGATGGACATTTGGTTTCCTTCTGCTTTTTAGCTATTATGAATAATGCTGCTATAAATATTCACGTATATGTTTTTTTGTGAACATATGTTTGCAATTCTCTTGGGTTTATACTGAGGAGTGGAATTGCTGGGTCATGTCTGCTGACTGTTTTCCACAGCAGCTGCACCATTTCACATACCCACCAGCAATGTATGAGGATTTCTCCGCATTCTCACCAACACTTGTTATTTTTCGTCGTTTTGAGTACAGCCATCCTAGTGCATGTGCAGTGGTACCTCATTGTGGTTTTGATTTTCATTTACCTAATGACAAACTATGTTGAGCATCTTTCTACGTGCTTATTGGTTATTTATACATCTTCTTTGGAGAAAGGTCTATTCAAATCCTTTGCCAGTTTTCAAATTATTTTTTTTAATTGTTGAGTCGTACGAGTTCTTTAGATATTCTGCATACTAGACCCTTATCAGATATATGATTTGCAAATATTTTCTCCCATTCTGTGAGTTGTCTTCCAACTCTGAAGTAGCCTTTGATGCACAAAAGTTTCTAATATTGATGAAATTCAATTTATCTATTTCTTCCTTTGGGTGCTTGTGCTTTAGGTATCATATTTAAGAAAATACTGCCTTTAATTCATTCCCTTGAAGGCATACAGTCACTGCTGCAATTACTCAACTCTGCTGTTTCAGTGTGAAAGCAGCCACAAACATACGTGAACGAATCCGCATGGCTGTGACCAATTAAATGTTATATATAAAAACAGGTGGTGGGCTGGATTTGGGTCAGTTTCTTGATTCCTGGGCTAGAGAATGTTTAAATTCCTTTGCTGTCATCAAGACAGTTGTATTTATCAAATTTTTATTTTTATATTTAGTAGTTGGATGTAGGAAAACACTTAAGTCATTTTTTCTTTTAATTTAAACTAATCTTTAATTATGAGGGAGAATTAACCATCTCTTTTTCTTTCCTTGTGTCTTAGTTATCCAGTGCTGCTATAACAGAAACACCACAAGTGGATGGTTGGTATTTCTCCTTGTTAACAAAGAGGAATTTATTCTCTCACAGTTCAGGAGGCTAGAAGTCCAAATTCAGGGTGCCAGCTCCAGGGGAAGGCTTTCTCTCTCTGCCAGCCCTGGAGGAAGGTCCTTGTCATCAATCTTCCCCTGGTCTAGGAGCTTCTCAGCACAGGGACCCTTGGTCCAAAGGATGTGCTATGCTCCTGGCTTTGCTTTCTTGGTGGTAGGCAGTCTCCCTGTTTCTCTGCTCTCTTCTTTCATATCTCAAAAGACACTTACTTAAGACACAACCTAATCTTGTAGAATGAGTCCTGCCTCATTAACATAACTGCCTCTAATCCTTCCTCATTAGGAAGGGATAGGATTTACAACACATAGGAAAATCACAGCAGATCACAAAATGGTGGACAACCATACAACACTGGGAATCATGGCCTAGTCAAGTTAATACACATTTTTGAGGGACATAATTCAATCCATGACACCCTGTGAACAGTCTGTTCATATCTGTTGTCTAAATTTATTAACAGCACTTTCTATTAAAGACTGTAGCCCTTTTTCAATTGCATTGCAAATTACATAACTTTTTTGGGAGCCAGAATTATTTTTAATGCAGTCAGATTTACAAATCTTCTTTACATCTTTCGGGGATTGTGTCATGTTTAAAAAAAAGCTTCTTTCTGTTCATGTTTCCTTCTAGTACTCTTGAGGTTTTATTTTGTACTTTAATCTTTGACCTACCTAGATCTTCTTTAGAATAAGTACTTAACCTAAACAGCCAACTCATCTCTCTATTCTTTCAGTTCCCCTCCAATCTACCCTGTACTTTACTGATAGAGTGATTCTTTCTAGTACCTCCAGATATAGTAAATCCCCGGGATAAGAATGTCTAATTTATGGACAACTTGTACTTGCTCTTTAATATTATGTAAAATTGTCCTCACTTTGAAATAACTACTCACAACAAATTCTTCATCACAATCACCTTCACCTGCTGCACGTGCAGTCTTTAAACCACTGAAAAGGCTTTGAGCCTTGTCTTGCACTAACATCAGGCTAAATAATACCATATGCGCCTGTTCCAACTTACCTACAAATTCTTAAAGACACACTTAGGAACAAATCTCATTTGTAACCTGGGGACTGCCTGTAAACATCTATTCTTTTAAGACCCAGCTCAAGTATCATCTCTCCGCTATTATGTCTCTCCTGACATCAACTCTGTAAAAACTTCTATCAAAACACCTATTACTTTCTGCACAGATTAGATTTCACACTGAGTTTCCTCTTAATGTAAGATCTTTACATAATATAGTCTAATATATCTATGTTGTAATATGGTCTAATATATGTACATATCAATTTATATGCATTTTATCAATCATAGTTATTTTTGGAGTTCTTATCTAAACTCCAATATCTATCTCTGTCTTCAAGGTGTTTGTATGTCTCTAGTTTCTACTACTAAGTGACTGATGACTAAATGAAAGAACTTTAAAATACAGCATTCTAATGTTGTAAACTTGATAAACAGAGAACTAATTTTTATATGGTAGCTGTAACTGAAGAAAAATTTAAGCTTAAGCACATGAATATTATCTGGTTCCTACAATGGAGGGTTATTTGAAGATTTTACCGTGTTTAACAAAGTTCATCATCCTCTTGTTAAGATTAAGAGACTCAAAGAAAACATAACGTTTCCCAGAACAACAGGAAAAGCATCCCCAAATCTGTCATCATATATACAAAGCCCATATGGTGAAACACACAATATCCATACTTACATGATTGCAGTCTGAAGAAATTTCATTTTCAGGCTGGAAGAAAAAAAAGGCGAAAGATAATATTTAAAAAAAAAAAACTTTTCAAGTTTTCAAACATCACTAAAATAAACACAAAACAAGAAATCTGCATATTCAACCAAACATGTTTTTGTAATATGAGGCATAAACTGGGGCTTGCATATCTTTTAAGTTACTGGGGAGAAATGTACCGGAAAGGTAGGTGAGACATATCCCTTCCCAATCAATAGTACCACCTGGAAATTAGGAGAATGGAGAAAGAATGTACTAAAGAGATAAAGCAATAGTGACATAAAACTATTTACATGACACTTTACAATTCTGAAAATTAAAGAGGATCAGACACATTACAGGTGTCCTTTCTTTAAAGAAACTTACATTTCTAAAACAAACAGACTTATTAAAAAGTGCAGAAAAGGGCATTCAATTACTTAAAATTTAGTCTAACGTTGTCATTGAGGGAAGCTGGGTAATGCGTACGAAGAACTTCTCTGTACTATTTCTGCAACTTCTTCTGAGTTTATAATTATTTTAAAATAAAAGTTTAAAAAAGCAGTTGAAAATTACACACATACACACACAGCAAAATGAATACATTTGTTTTGCAAAGCTAGGTACATGCACCAGAGATAAAATAAACTTTCAAGGCCATGAAGAAAAAGGTGGACTAGGTTTTGCCTAATATTGCATAGCTTTGCGATACATATCTTCTTTAGTTTCCTATCGCATAGCTTTGCAATACGTATCTTGTTTAGTTCCTTGGTCATACATTTAAAGAAGATATAGCTGCAATAGTACACATCATAACAAAGCACCACTTCCTTTGAGTTTTCATAGTATTTCAACCTGTCCAAACAAAGTGAATTCTGTGTGCCTTATATGAAATATTACCAATTAGGGTTGTAAAAGGTGACATTTTCCAAATGTTTAGGAATATAGGAATAAAGATAAGGCAATAAATAAAATATTAAATATTACAAAGGAAAGCGGCTGCACCTTGCATTATTTCAGGAAGAAAAAGATTTGCAGGAAACTATTAATGCCACTGCAGAATTTAGTAGGCATTAACACCAATACACAAACTCATTCTCATATTTAGTTTTAAAATATTGTCTTAAAACTTACTTTAAATAGGTTGCTAGGTAATTGTAAGATTATAAAATACCACTTTTGAACTTTCTCTTGCATAAGTAAGAACAGATATATTAATGTGAAGTGTCTGAATGTCAGAAATCACTCTCCACACTATGAGTTTAATCTGGTCTAACTCTGTTCCCCTCCACTTCAACTTCAAGTGCTTAACTTGTAGCTGTTAATAGTTTATTAGCAAGAGTGCTTTATTCTGTTTAGGTGGCTTTCTACCCTATCCCCTTGCCTTAGTTGTCTAGTGCTGCTATAACAGAAATACCACAAGTGGATGGCTTTAACAAACATAAATTTATTTTCTCACAGTTTAGGAGGCTAGAAGTCCAAATTCAGGGTGCTGGCTCTAGGGCAAGGCTTTCTCTCTCTGTCAGCTCTGGAGACAGAGAAAGTCTCCCCCCTAGAGCCTTCTCTTCAGCTTCTGCTTCCTAGTTCCTTGGAGATCTCCATGTGTCTTGGCATCTATCTTACCCCATCTCTCTTGGTGCGCTTGTTTAATCTCTTTTATATTTCAAAAGAGATTGTTTTAAAATACATCCTACACTAATCCCACCTCATTAACATAACAAAGATAACCCATTCCCAAGTGAGATTATAACCACAGGCATAGAGGTTAGGATTTACAACACATATTTCGGGGGGAAATAGTTCATAATACCCCTTTTAAACTAGCCTTAATTTTTCCCCCAGTCAATCAGCAATTCTAGATTTTTCTCAAACAATGCACTGAAGGCAATTAATATCACCATCTTCTCTATTTGTGTTCATTATACTAAACAACAATTTTGTGCTAAAGGGATATTCTTGAAAGAAATTCAGAGCTTTGGAGAATTTTCAAAATAATGTAGTCAAATAAGACGTAACCTACCCATGGAAAGAAAACTGTTCTCATGTTTATAGTCCACAGGACCTGTACCAGGAAATTAATGATTGTTTTAATCGCTTGCTTCCCTACAGTGGTAGATTTGATTGTTTTCCTATTCTCCTTTAATAGCATTTAAAATCCAGATCTTTTGTCCTGTAACTTTGTGCTGTCTCCCACTGTGGGCATAATATACACTTTGCTCAACTTATGTTGGGCTAGGCCACTGACTTGCTTTGGCTGATGGGATTTTAGCAGAGCCTTTATGTATGCTTCAGTGGTTTGGCTTGTACTCTTGTGCTCCTGCCAGTCCCCATGAGAACACATACAGGTGGCTGCTAGTACAAGTAGATGAGAGACATGTGGAGCAGACCTAAATTCAACCTGCAGACTGAAGCAGAGCCATCCCAACTGACCAGTATGGCCATGAGTAAGAAAAACAAACATTAGTCATTGTAAGACCCTGAAATTTTGAAGGTGTTTGTTATGAAGCAAAAATGACTAATATACTTATCAAGCAAATGGAATAATAAAAACTCTACAACCTTTAAATTGAAATTGGTAACAGCTATGATCCAATACTAGTGAATTATTAAGAACAGAGTATTGCATTTATAAAGGAATGACATAATCCACTGAAGAGCAAACGAACTGCAAATTAGGACACCAGTGTTTTAGTTTTCATCTCTTTTGTTGTCTTGATTTCCAAATGACCATAAACCAGTTGTGATGGTTAATTTTATGTGTCAATTTAGCTACACTATGGTACCCAGCTGTTTGTTCAAACACTATCTAGACTCTATTATGAAGTAGCTACATGTGATTAAATCAGTTGGCCTTAAGTAAAGCAGATTACCCTCCATCCATAATGTGGGTGGGCCTCAACCAGTCAGAGTCAAAAAGGAGATTTCCCTAGGGTATATTCTGCCTCCAGAATAGAAACAGACATGTTGACAGAATTTCTCCACTCTTTTCAGGACCCAAGACTGCAGGAATCTCCAGCCTGTCACCTGACCTATGGATTTTGGGATACAAGACTGATAGGATCTCCAGGCTCTTGCCTGAGCTACACATTTTGGACTTGCTAGCCCCTACAATCCCATGAGCCAATTTCTTAAATTAAACCAATCTCTCTCTCTCTCTCTCTGTGAACCTTATTGGTTAAGTTTCTCTACAGAACCATAAGACATCAGTCTTTTTTTTTTTTTTTAAAAGATATTAGCTTCTCTAGCCAGAAAGAGAAGATGACAATATAGGCATGCTGTAAGAGCAAGGTTATGATGTTAGGCCTTTGAGATTCATGATTCATGGAATTGAATAGCTATGAAGAATTTCTAAGTGCCGTCCCAAATAATTAATGTCAGACATTTAAAAGGGTCATTAGAATCAGAGAACATAGTAGTGGTTCAGAGGAACAAAACAAGAACCTACAAAATACAAAGTAAAATATAAAGTAGTATCTCCAAACAGTGGGAACACCAACAATGCCAGTACAAATTAACTCCAGAGAAAGTAAAAAAGAAAATGCTCTGATTTAGCATTCAGCCATTTGATAGGGGACTAAAGGGCAGAAATTGCAAGGGACAAAAACAGGTATGGGTGCTGACGAAGATTTTGTTCCCAGATTGTAACATTCCTGTGATGTCTCAATCAAATCATTTCATTAGATACAGTATATCTATTTCTGCAAAACTGTAAGTACTGATAGGCTTGATTATCTTTAATCTGAGAAGATGAATGGCACAAAGAATAAAACCCAGAGTTACTAAGGTAGAATAAGACTGAAGGATTTTTTTTTTCCCATTTGTGATTATTTTGTAATCAGTGAAATAATACTCTGAAATGACCCCCAAGAATTGAGTCAGCAAGTATATACAAGTATATAATGAATAATTACCATGTACCCAACATTGTGCTAGACATTGTTACGCGACACAAAAGAAAGATAAGACAGTCTCTAATCTCAGGGAGTTTATAACCCAGTTGCAGAGAGAAAATGGTGAAATGAAACAATTAAGCAAGAGTAGAGACTTGAGCTAGGCCTGAAGAATAAAAAGAACTAGAAGAGTAATCTCCAAAGAGGAATGATCAAGTTAGATGATCCTCTGGGAAATAATAAAATTATTTTCAAAAAAAGTTCATCCTTTATATTTTAACGTTTTCATAATGTATATAATATTAGAATAGTTAATGTTTTACGAATAAATATATATCTACTGGGGATCTGCATAGAAATTTTTTCAAATGATAAGAGGAACATGATCCAGATAGAGGATTAAGAACTGAAATCCTTCTTCTAATCAATTTAGGAGTCCTATCTATTCCTCTAGGAGTCCCTGGGTAGAGCAGTTAACACAGTCATCTGGTAACCAAAAGCTTGGAGGTTTGAGTCACCCAGAGGAGCCTCAGAAGGCATGGCAATCTACTTCCAAAAATTCAGCCATTAAAAACCCTATCTAACACAGTTCTACTGACACACATGGAGTTGCCATGAGTCAGGGCTGACTCGACGGCAAATGGTTTTTTCACCCATTCTTCTACCCCTTTAGATCAGAAGCAAAGTGCTAGCTCTTAACCTGCAGAAGTGCCAAATTGTATGTGGAGTTTTGCCACATTATCAGCTGATCCCTAACACTGTGGCAACAGAAATCTGGATTTTGAAAGAAGGTTCTCTTATATCACTATCAGCCTCACGTGTTTACTTACTGGAAATAAAAATAATTGAACTGACAGTGGAAAACCATGAAAAGAAAACTTTCTAAAAAGCCTCATAAATAGCTTTCTAGTAATTTAGTGATTGAATTTTATAGAAGAGTTCCACAAATAAGTATCAATAAGGAAATTATTATGAATACAGAAAAAAGAAGAGAAAGTAGTACATCTCCTCCACCCGAAGAGCCGTGACTAAAAGAGAAAAGGAACTTGGTTTATGTTTAATGAATGATGTGGAGAACAAAGACAATAGCATAGTAAAAGGGATAAGCACTGAGTACTTGGAGACATCTGCCTGACTCCAATAAAGAATGGGATGAAAGTAGCAAGAAACAGTAAAAGCTACCACTTAACAAACTGAGTTAAGTGTAGGGATAAGTTACTCAATAAGAAAAGTATGTACAGTCTTACCTTGCTTAATGTAACCCCATGCATATTTGCTTACTGGTTAACCTGCACCTGGGTGCTAAGTTTATTTCTTACAACATGATTGACTACAAGATAAATGGTATTGTTTCCAATTTTACAGATGAAGTTATTAAAGCAGAGAAACTGAGTAACCTGACCAAAGATACACTGCTAGGAGAGGACAAAACTGGAATTTAAATAATGATAATAAATGGCAGCTAATGCGATGTAATGGTTTCAGCTTGATACCTCCAAAAAAAGGCTAGGTAGGTCAGGTTGGGTACAATTATAGGGTGTCTTCAGGAGGAGTAGGAGAAAGAAAGGGCAGACAGGATGAATAAACGAAACTACTGTTCTAGAGAGATCTGCCTGGCAGCTATATGATTAATTTAGATGCAGGCAGTCTACGTAAGATATTGATGAAGCAAATAGGTGAGCTAGGTATCTGGACAGCCCTTGAACAACCAGAGCAAGCTATAAAACTGCTCAGTTCATTTGACTTTTCTAAATCAGTGATCTAATTGTTTTGGGCATTATTATACTTCACTCTCCTAGTTGGATGACCCAAAGCTGAAATTGTTGACTTTAAGGCTAAAACCTCTAGCCCCTCCTCTAAGCTCTATAAATTCAGAGCTTGGTTTAACGAAAGGTAAACGATGGTAGAAAAAGAACAGCGGACTAAGAGTCACAAGTATTCAGCTTCTATCTAGGTGTGTGTCTTTAGGTATGTCACTTAACTTCCCTAGACCCTCAAGGGCAGGCTTTGGACTAGAACAGGGAGGGTTTTTCACCTAGAATCCATGAACAGGAATTCAAGATCTTCTTGAAACTGAATGTAAACTTTTGTATGTAAGTGTATTTTTCCGAAGAAAGAAGCCACAGCCGTCACCATAATCTCAAAAAAGATCTGTAAGACAAGAAAAAATTAAACATTGGTCTAAGACGGTTGAGATTCTTTCCACCTTTATGATTCTATAAAATCAGGGATGTGGAATGTAAAAATACAAGTATTTATTGAATTCAAGTCTTTTAATGCAGGTAATTTGCATACTATGATTATGGTTCCTACTGCTTCATCTTAACCATTCTCTGCTCGTCGAAGTCACAGCAAATAGGTCTCAGAACAAACTACTGAAAAGCTTGAGTCTGAATGCTCTCAGTTAATCAACCATCACATTCACTTAGGAGGATGGTTTTTACAGAAAGTTTAAGAATGGAACTATGATTTCCCAAAGGTGAACAGGCTGAGTTAATGGGTCTGGCAGGAGAAATTAAAGGATTCAAAAAAACTAATTTGGAAGTTGTCTCAGTTTCTAAAATATAAAACATTCTGACAGAAGTAACTATACAGCTGAACTACCCGCCAGATTACACAAACGAATAGGTTCCTTTTCCTAAGACACCTGTTACTAAATTAATTGACAACAGACTTTGTTTATGAATCCCCTGGGAGAAAACAAAAAAATTCCATAGTATCAGTGCTTTTATAGCCTTGCAGAAAACTGAAGGTTGGGCAACAACCTGATGCCTCCTGATTAGAAAACATTCTGCCACAGCAGTAAGTAAATACTTCTGGGAGTTCATTCATTAAGAACCCAGTATACTCCCAATCAGAGAGGCAATCTGTTTGTTAACTTGGCTCACAGGGTTCCCCCCAACAAAAAAAGCACACTGAATATAATGCAGATGGTCAGATAAACTCAGTTTTTCAGTCTTGGCAAAGCTTCCCTGAGCACATCTAAACTGTACCTTAACCCTTAGTGAGGTTCATAACTACTTTGCTCTTAGTGCTTTATTCTGGTTTAATCTGAAATTATTTTTCTGATTTGTACCCAGGGACAGCTGCTGGGTATTGCTTATCCATAGGCTTTATGCACTCCAACAATATTCTGGTTCAAAAAAAGTGGTGCTTTTGTATGATTTTTTAACACTGAACCATCCTTTCAAAAGGATTGACTGTATAGGTCCAGTGCGAGATTAAAAAACAAAAAAGGTGTGAGATGCGGATGCTGGCTTCCAAGTAAATTAGTGTGATAGAGGAGCTAAAACACGAGCCACACCTAACCGTAATACAAGGCTGACTGTGGAGTGTGTAGAGGAAAAAAAAGTGCCTGGTATTTTAAAGATGGAAAAAATTACCACCACCCTCATGAGTAGAAGGACAGAATAGAAATCAGAGTTTTATGTGGAGGAAGGCACATTTGAATTGAGCCTTAAAAGGATGTTGTGATTTATGCTACTGATACAATGAGGAAGACAAGCAAAGGGTTATGCAGGGCAAACAGAATACCAGGGTATGGGAAGGAGTTAGAAAGGCACATTCAGTGCAGAGGGCAGAAGCTGACTGAGAAGTGAGGAACCCCATGGCAACTGTTCTTGTTGTAAGGTGCTGTTGAGTCAGTTCCGACTCATAGTGACACTATGTACAACAGAACAAAACATTATTTACTCCTCTGCCATCCTCACAATTGTTGTTATGCTTGAGCCCATTGTTGGAGCCACTGTGTCAATTCATCTCGTTGAGGGTCCTGCTCTTTTTTGCTGACCCTCTACTTTACCAAGCAAGATGTACTTCTCCAGGGACTGGTCCCTGCATTCTTGTTTCTAAGGAGCATTCTGGCTATACTTTTTCCAAGACAGGTTTGTTCGTTCTTTTGACAGTCCATGGTATATTCAGCATTCTTCACCAACAGCATAATTCAAAGGCATCATTCTTCTTCAGTCTTCCTTATTCACAGTCCTGCTTTCCCATGCACATGAGGCGACTGAAAACACTATGGCTTGGGTCAGGCACACCTTTGTCTTCAAGGTGGTATCTTTGCTTTTCAACACTTTAAAGAGGTCTTTTACAGCCGATTTGCCCAATGCAATGCGTCTTTTGATTTCTTTGACTGCTGCTTCCATGGGTGTTGATTGTGGATCCAAGTAAAATGAAATCCTTGACAACTTCAATCTTTTCTCTATCATGATGTTGCTTATTGTTCTTAGGCCTATATATTTGGCATCTCCCAATATATGGTGGGACAGCATAACTACAAAGCTTTAATAAAAAATCCCAACACTAATTCAATAATGGTTTCCCATATTCCAAATTAATATGTTATGTGTGACGTGTAGAGAGTAGTGATTTATTTTAATTACTTGCATACTCCCCCAGTGAGTGGTGGGGCAACAGCTGGTAAATACTGTATAGTTACTTCTGTCAGAACATGTGTGCTTCAGGGTTGTATCCTTTCACCATACTTATTTAATCTGCATGCTGAGCAAATAATATGAGAAGCTGGACTATAGGAAAAAGAACGGGGCATCAGGATGGGAAGAAGACTCATTAACAACCTGCATTATGCAGATGACACAACCTTGCTTGCTGAAAGTGAAGAGGACTTGAAGCACTTACTGATGAAGATCAAAGACCACAGCGTGCAGTATGGATTACACTTCAACATAAAGAAAACACAAATCCTCACAATAAGCAACCAATAGCAAATGAGAGCCTACTATCATGATAAACGGATAAAAGACTGAAGTTGTCAAGGATTTCATTTTACTTGGATCCACAGTCAACGCCCATGGAAGCAGCAGCCAAGAAATCAAAAGACACACTGCATTGGGCAAATCTGCTGCAAAAGACCTCTTTAAAGGGTTGAAAAGCAAACCTTGAAGACTAAGGTGCACCTGTCCCAAGCTATGGTGTTTTCAATCGCCTCATATGCACGTGAAAGCTGGAGGATGAATAAGGAAGACCGAAGAATTGACGCCTTTGAATTGTGGTGCTGGCGAAGAGTATTAAATATACCAAAGGCTGCCAAAAGAAATCAACAAATCTGTCTTGGAAGAAGTACAGCCAGAACACTCCTTAGAAGCAAAGATGGCAAGACTACATCTCACCTACTTTGGACATGTTATCAGGAGGGACCAGTCCCTGGAGAAGGACATCGTGCTTGTTAAAGTAGAGGGTCAGCGAAAAAGAGAAAGACCCTCATTGAGATGGACTGACAAAGTGGCTGCAACAACAGGCTCAAGCATAACAACAATTGTGAGGATAGCACAGGACTGGGCGGTGTTTTTTCTGTTGTACATAGTGTCGCTGTGAGGTGGAACTGACTCAACAGCATCTAACAACAACAAATGAGAGTCTACTATCAGCAGAAAGGGGGTAGGGGAGTTTCCTCTCACTACTCATTTTTCCTTCCTAGGAGACAACTTGGAAATCCAGAATCCAATTTGGCGCTGGTGATGAGTATTTTCACCTAATTTATGGGGGAAGGAAACAGAGTCAGGCAGTCTACCAAATGCTTGGCCAGATTCTACTTCAGACTCAAGGGAAAGAATCTTGGACAGGTCTATAAACTTGGCTCCGAGTCATGGCAGGCATACAGCTGTAAAGGGATAAAAGGCCTTGTTTCATTGCCCAGTTGACTGGATAAAGTGTTTTGGTGTCCATGTTACAAAAAAGCAAAAAAAGTAGCACCTAGAGAGAGCATTTTCATTCATCCTACAGTGGTTAACATATATAAAATGTTTTGTAGGAAAAACATCCAAAGGCTATACTTCTGAATTGTGATGCTACTACCACTACTACCAAAATATTGCATCTAATTCTTCTAAAATTAGCTACTCACAGTATTTTTCATAGCTCATGAAAGCAGACACAGTTAGTATAGTAGATCCCCTCACGTCATCATGTTTAAGGGGTAACATACCCTGGTAGAAAGAATTCTGGACTAGGAGCCAGAAGACTTGGGTTCTAATTCCAGTTACATTGTATACTTGTTACCTAACAACCTTGATCAAGTCACATAATTTCTTTAGGCTTCAAATTTCATGTCTATAAAACAGGTAAATCCTGCTTTACCTACTTCAAGGGCTACTATGAGCATTATGACAAGTTATGCAAAAGGCCTTTCAAAACTGCAAAAGGCCTTGCAAATAGAAGGTATCATTGGCCGTTCATTCTCTGTATATAATCTAATCATTTTAAGTGCCAAAAGCAACATTACTGCTATTCAGGAGACCAGAGCTCCTGCAAAGAATACAAATTCAAAATATATAGCATATATATTTGATTGTATGTGTATAGATTATCTCTAAAAGGATACATAAAACTATTTATTTTCACTATATTTCCTTTCGCACTTTTTGAATTTTGTACCACATACCAAACAAAACAAAACAAAACAAAACAAAAAATCAGTGAAATATAATTACCCCTTAAGAAGATATATGCAGACACCTTGGAAAATATTTGGAATATATCTTCATGGTTGGGACAACAAGGGGATTTAATGATACACTCCTCCCAGCCCATGTTTTTCTATTTCCATTCCACTGACTATTTCAAAGGGGTGGTAATGGGGAGGGAATATGGGATATCTACATCCTCTGGGAGATGGCAAGTAGCAATCTCGCCTTCTTAGAATGCTAGATTGGAAGTCCTACTCTAAGAAAAACACATTAACCACGTTATGGTCCAGTTTTCCCAGTTCAGCCAAATTTTATGTAGCAGTTTTTGAGTGAGAGGTGAAGGCAATTCTCTGAAGGGCACTGTATGAATAACTAACAGAATATCAATTTTGCTATGGTACCCTTTATACTCTTTATTTATTTACCTTCTCAGATCATTTGAGAGAGCTGAATACAGGCAAAAATTTGTCAAAGCACTAGTTTGTATAGCTAAATGCAAAGTAGGAAGCTAGACGAAAATAGAAAATTTCCAGACATCTAATATTATGTTTATATCCAGTAAATCTGGAATGATTCTGGCAATATAGCTCAATGCCACCAATCCAGTTAAGGCACGTCTATTTTGTAATTTTGAAAAAAATTCCTGAAATTAAGCATAATTTCTCATGCTCCATACATAGGTACCTAAAAAAATACCCCGTTTTCCCCATACTGACCAGTTAATGCACTGTTTACTTTAACCATCCTAAGCAGAAGCAACTAGGGCTAAGCTGCCAGAATCCTTTCTGTCTAACACAGTTTAAATTACTGCTGCTTCTTAAGAGAACAGCTTTGATTCAGGGACTGGCGTTCTATCTAAATTAAGACAGCACACTACATTGCGTAATTCTGAAGGATGAGCGAGTTTTGAAGCACGTGCCAGCAGAAGGATAAAAATTAGGTTAGATGAAAAAGATCAAGCACATTTGAGTACTGGGAAATGATAAGCTGGAGTGGGGGAAGATGAACATCGTGTGCCTCAGGATCATTAAATGAACTTGAGAAGTGGCAGAGAAGCAGCAAATAGTTATCATAACTTCTCACGGCAGTCTGAGGCACCTACACAGAACACCACTGACATAGTCCAAAACCATGTCCCCAACCACCCAGCACCACTCTGTCCCTCCACTTAAGTCTAGAATGCAATAGTCATTTGCTCAAGGTCACAGAGTCAAGCACTGGTCAAATAAAAAAATCAACAGCCTCTAGGCAACAAGAATAGGGGGTAATTAAGATGTTCTTAAGGTTTCACAAAATGTTATCAAGTATAGAAAACAAAAACCCGGATGAAAACTAAACGCGGAAAACCTAGCATCTCTGACCATTGTTTTGACAGATTTGAAAACACTGCTGTAAAACAAATACAATCCTTCAAAAAACAAAAATATAACCAGCGCCTCAATACAAAACACAAACCCAAGAGAAAACCCTGCCTTCCCATTGTTTCTCCTATACCTTCATTCTAAAACCTCCTATCATTTCATACCTAGGAAAGGATTTTTGCCTCCACCGAAACAATACTCAAACCATTTTCAGGAGCAAGTCTGTAACCAAACTGTCACAGAAACAGATAGTATGTATTTTAATATCTGTCTCATTTTTACAGTTAGCTGCCGTTGAGTCAGTCCCCGACTCACGGCACCTCATACACAACCAGATGAAATGCTACCTGGTCCTGTGCCATTCCCATGATTGGTTGCAGATGAGACTGTTATGATCCACAGGGTGTTCAATGGCTGATTTTTGCAAGTAGATTGTCAGGCTTTTCTTCCTAGTCTGTCTTAGACTGCATGCTCCGCTGAAACTTGTTCAGCATCATATCAACACGAAAGTCTCCAATGACAGATGGGTCATGGCTACACTTGAGGTGCAGTGGCCAGAAATCAAACCCAATCTCCCCCATGGAAGGCAAGAATTCTACCACTGAATCACCAATGTCCCCATGGCTCATGTTTACAGAGCTTTCTAAAAGGCTTACTAATGTAGATGAATCTTCTGATTCACTATCAGCTCTAACGTGTCATCTACTTGATGTCTCTATATTCTCCTACCTGGCATCTAACAACTTCTGAATGGCAGCAAAACTATACATTAAAATTTAGCAATCCCATAGGGATATTTTGGTCAAGAAGAGGTCACTGGGTAGCGGCACTGGATTTATGGCACAAAAGCCAAACTGGCTACCACCAGCAAACTGGACAGGAAATTGTTAG